GTGTGGGGGGGCCACAGCCCCGTCCTCCAGGGCATGAAGCAGGTATGGAGGAGATCAAAACTCCAGACATCCAGAGGCCCCCAGAACATTACCTCTAAATTGTTGTGTATAGAAATTAAATCAATGGGTTAATGAAGCAACCTATTTCTGCCCGCAAATTATTGTTCTCTACTATTACAGTTCTCAGTAAACCACAAAAGATGTCAGTTTAGTGAAGAATAAGCTAAATTTATGTAAGATTTTAGTTTGAGAAAATAAAACATCTTCATTTTTATGGAATCTTTAATTGCTGTCATAATTTGTGTTCTCACACCAGGCAAAGAGTTGACTACGCCTCACCAGATGAGCCTGGCTGGAGCCATTTCTCTGCCTGCGTTCTGGTTGGCCGGAGCTGGCGCTGCCGTGTTTTGGGTTCTTGGTAAACCAAACCACATTATACTTGTTCTGTGTTACTCTTTTGAATCTTTGTTTTAAAAAAAATGTTATTGTGTTTTTCTGATTTTGGAAATATAATTGAACATATTCCACTGCTGTCTGCAATGCTAACATTTCTCTAATAGTGGAACCTAAATCTTGTTCACGCATTTGTAAGAAAAACCTTCTTCTTTGTTGCTTTCTCTTCACATCCATTTTATACTGCTATAATTCATCTTCCCAGGAGCAACGCTGTTTGTGATTGGCTCTCATGCTGCGTTTCGTGAGCTGGAGGGATCGGACATGGAAGAGCTCCTCATGGAGCCCGTATAAAGACCAGGCTAAACTATCAGCAGGCGCCGGTTGGCTATCAGTCATCATGTTGACCCTGCAAATATGTTTGCACACAGGAAGAGCTGTTCATATATATGTTTCTTAGCTTGTTAAATTCCCTGTGTTTTAACCCCTTACCATGGTATCAAGAATGTACCTTGTCATGTTACTGACAGCTTTTTGAAGCTCATTTAAGCACATAAATTGCCATAGAACACAAAAATGGATTTCTGAACATAAGTCTAACCACACATTAATGCAGATTATATGCCTTTCTATGTTCATTTTAAACCTTGGATGCCTCTGATTTGTGTAAAATAGTCTTTCATTCCTTGCAATATTTCTCAGCTTATATCTTAATGGGCTATCTGTGCTGTGCTCTCTGCTGTAGATATTTGGGCTAATACATTCTCTCTGATTTGAATAATATGTATCAATGTAATCTTTACACTTCTAAAGAGAATTTGTGATTGTTTCCAAAGGAAAGTGCAATTTAAAGCTTTAAAACTGTATCTAATGCTAATGCACAAACACACATTATCATTATTGTTATTATTATTATTATTATTAGACAAATGCAGGTTTGGTCATTCAGATAGGCTTCTTATATAGATGGCTTGATGATGACACATCTTTAAAGGTCAGTACTTAATCATGGTATTTTACATCGGGTTTATAATTTCCTTGTTAGCATGTATACATGTTTAGCTTGGAACTTGGAGGTGTAACGTCACATAAATGTAAAATACTTTATTGAAATTCATCGTTCGTTTACATTCTGATAAAAGTTGGGTGTTTTGTATCTATATCTCAGTGCAATAAACTCTTAAGGCCAGCTTATCCAATTCTCGCTTTCTTTCTTTTTTATTCAGTATCAAATTAAGTCATATTTATTTCCTCTAAAGTTGCTACTACAGTTGACTTTTGTTTGTGCATGCATAGCAGGAGTTGTAGTGAACTCGGTGTCCCTCGGCAACACTTAGGTCTGTACATGTTCTCATTATTCTGCTCCAGTCTGAATACACAGTGGAATAGGGCACTTCCAGCCCTTGTGGCTCCTCTCCTCTGCCTCCAGTATACCAAGCACCGCAGCGCTCACCAACCCCCTCTTGTCCCCCTTTTCACGTGACCCCTGTGACCCTGTGCTCTGTGACAGCACAGCGAAAGGACCCCATGCTCAGGTTGCCATAGCGATGACCTTGGAGGGCCCCAGTCAGACACACACTCATCCACAGGAGCACTCGCTTACACACTGCGGCAAAGGCAAGCGATCGATATTCTATTATACGTAGGGTGGCGAGGAGCGGGTTGGGGGGGGGGAGTCGCACTGCAGTGAGCTCACTGCAGAGACACGGGGGAAATTAGAACGAGGGTGAGAGCGTGAGCGTGTTTGTCAGGGAGAGTGACAGAAAGTGGGTGCGCGTGTGTGTGTTTGTGTGCGTATGCATGCGTGCATTTGTCATTGGGTAGTGAAACGATTCCACAAAGTTTTTGTCTTTCTCCCTCAAAGGGACGTGTCCTAATTTTTTTCTTTTTTTTTTTAGTTTTTTGTGGCAAAGTGACCTCACACAAAACCTAATTCTCACATTATAGAGCATTAAATTATGTATAATTCATTTGATTTGTGTACTTGGTAGGCAATAAGCAGTTCATTTAAAATATATGACCCCTGTGGCTCAGGGAGGCAGCACATTTGCAGCCCATTCCCTGAAGGTGACCTGCTTTATTTGCAGAAATGTAGCATATTAATCAAAAAAGTAGCTGTTCCTTCATATAAACACACTGCCTGCACTATTATTTTTCTATCAACTTAAAAGAGATGGCTTTTGGGAAATGGAGCAATAATCCTTTTGTATGTTGGTCCTGCTGAGAGCGAGCCTCATCTCTGAACTCATTTATGTTGGAGTCAGACAATGCTGACACGTATAGAGTGGTTTTGGTGCATTACCTTGGGCTGCTGCCAACTCGTCCCCCTATGGCACTTGAACATTATGCAGTTTTGTAGGTTGAAGTGCATATATTTGCAACACTAGATGGCATCTCATCCTAAAATTCTTATTCTGTCATATTCTGCTGAGCTATACTCTCATATGCATAAAGCTGTACTGCATGGGCAAGGGTTATGGTGTTTTGCATATATTTCATCATGAGGAAATTGCTTTATTACAAATTTGAATATATATTTGCTGAAATCAAATATAGGTGCAATATTCAGGGGTTGTAGTCTACTAAAATTGTTAATGAATGCCAAATATAGACAGGAGGTAGAAGTAATATGATGTCAACTGGTCAGTATTCATGAATGCAGGCGACAAACTGCCAGTTCAAAGATGCAGTTCGGTGCTTCCGGTGGAATCTATTGAACACAAAGTAATTTTTCTTGCAGGATTTGTTATTGTGTGTGCACCCAACGCTGATGAGTAGCACTCATTTGAGCCAAAAATATAAAATAAGAGAAAATATGAGCAACTAAAGTTTTCTGTGGTACAAAAAGTAAATCAGACAAAGACACGTAGACAGATCTAGGTTGTATTAAATGTCTAGATGTTTTATTGGTGTTGGTTTCATTTATTTGACACACATGTTCTACTAGTTGTGTATTTTTATTTTTTTTTAATTCTCAACTTTCAACCCATTCAGCCACCTAAGACGGACCCAGCCCGAGGCCGCTGGCCCTTCACTGGTCTCCAACACATACATGCACACAGACCCGGGCACATGGGCTTATCATCTCCACTCACCACTCCACAGCACACTTCACCACATCATACCGGCACGCCTGCAGTGACAGGAACCACAAAGTCTTGGTTGGCGACTTCTATCTTTTGGTAAAAACACAACTTAATTACCATAAAGCCCTGCTTTGCTGTTACATGTTCGAATAGCCTCCTGAGAAACCAGCAAAAGTAACTGAAACCAAATCAAATACAAAAAGAGAGACAGATACAGTGTCTCTCACTTTTTTTTCCCTACCTCACCAATTTTGTGGATCGTCCTCATGAATGTCTTTCTGGAGCTGATGTTCAACATTTTTTTTCCTTTATTGTTTCATTTAAATTCAGTATAGAATTATATAGATTTCCTAGAACACACAGAAAGATTGAGTTGTATTTACCAACTTGGGGGGGAGGGAGGTGTACTGTAATAGCTATTAACGAGGACAATGGTTCACACAGTGCACACGAACGGAGACAAACGGGGCAGGAGGGAAGGGAGGGGAGGGGTGTGAGATACAGAGAGGGAGGGGCGGTGGACGGGACGCCGTGCGGTGTGCTTCAGTGCGCCTAAATGAGGATAAGTCGTTTTCACACACCTCCCCTCCCAACTTTGAAATAAAAAAAACAAAACAACTAAAATCATCAAAATTGCCCCCCTACCCCACATATTAAAAAACAAACAAACAACATTGGACATTAAGGAACAGAAGAGGAGGAAAATGGACGCGGTGAGAATGCCAGGAAAATGACCACTCCAATGGTCCTCCACAGACAGGAGGCGAAAGGTGGCAGTCGAAGTAGTGCCGGTGATGGGATCTCACTGTGTGACGTGTATATCTGTGTGTGATTGGAGGACAAGCAAAGGGTTGGCGAGGAGGTGAAAGAGGGGACAAAGGTGAAAGACGATGTTGGTGAAGAGGAGAAGAACAGGGAGGACAAGGAGCTGGATGGGCCTTTTTTTGCAGAGCATAGACACTCCCTTTGTATCATTAGCTCATTCAGATCTACATACACAATATGCAGCTGCCGTTTGGTAGATATATTGGTTTATGTACACAGCTGTGAGAGAACACATGCAAAGAGTATCATAGGAGGTGGGGAGAAAGAGGGCAGGTCGATGTAGAAAGTTGTAAAGGTGCTTTTGCTGTTTTTAATCTTTGGGGCAGTTGTGATGAAAATTGCTTCAAAGCGCTTTTTGTCTTTAAGGGGGCGGGACATCTGGAGATGTGTTTTGCCGAGGATGGAATGACCGGGGGAAGAAACAAGTGGAAGATGTGAGGGGCTTGAGCGAAAGTGCTCCAACGATCAATAGTACGTCTCCCTTTCCACCCAACCTGAAGCACAAATAGTAGAGAAAAAACACAGTAAATAAACAGTGCTTTTAGTAACTTGGGAAATTATTTTGATATTTAGACCCTACTGTCACCAGTTAGCTTAGCGTTACTTAACTGCTGCTTGATAATTAATAAATTTCTGTTTTTGTTTATAACCTACAGAAAAAGTTAAACTACTCTCATCTTAGGCCTGATGAACCAAAGACCTTTAAAGAAACGCCCACTTAAATGAAAAAAAAGAAAAACTTCGCTCACCTCCAGGGTTCCGGCGAAGGATGAGTTTTCGAGCTTCATCGTAAACAAAGATGAGAAAACTATAAGGAAATGCACAAAACCACCAGGTAGGCCTGTGGAGAGAACGAGAGAACTGCAATCAAGTAACCAGACAACTTGATCTTTCAATGTATTTATCTGTGTGTTGCTGAAACTCACTTTAGAGGATACATCCTGAGTGCCACATCCATGCCTGGGCAGTAGGACAGGAAGGCAGCCAGGGCTGTTTCTTCAAACAGGCCAAAGATCAAGATCTTGTTCCTGCGTTTAGAAAAGCCACATATTAAAGCCAAAAACATATCTACATAGATACATACATACACCTCTATTAGTATAATCTAGATTTTTTTTCTATGCTGATAAGATTGGCAGAAAAGACAACTATAGTGCAGTGAATAGCTCTTTGACTTACTTCATGCCTTGCTGGAAGACAGAGTTGCGCCTGGTCTTGCAGATGATGAGATCAGCCCACTGCACTACCACAATACTGACAAAGAAGGCTGTGTGACATGTAAACTCCACGATCTTCCTCTGTTCATATGTCTGTGAAGGCAGGAAAGATGTAGTAGCAAAATGTGAAAACACAAAATTTGCACCTACTACACACTTACCCATTGCTGGCCATAGCTGTCTTCCAGGTCATTTAAACTGCGGTCGTCCCAGTTGAGTCGGATGCCTACTAGCTGAGAGGGCAGGAAACCATTTTCAGCCAAGATGACAAAGTAGGCGAAGAATCCTCCCAGAGCCTGGATCATACCTTAAGAAACATGTACACACATCGAGATTGAGTTACCAATTTTTAAGTTTTCTGATTTCCAAAATCGAGTTTCCCCCCTAAACACCGAGGACAGCTCCAAAGATTATCCAACTATTGTTTTTTGTGAACAAAAAAAAAAAAAAAAAAGAGGGGGATAAAGTGATTTTTACAACAAAATGACTTCTAGGCAACTCAGATCTAACTTCAATCCACATCAAAGACAATTCACAGCCTGGATCAACAGTCACAATCTTCAGTTCACCCACCAATTTGTCCATAGGCAATGCTGATAAGCCTCTCATTCACCAGCTTGTCCCTGGCTGGGTTCCTAGGCTGGCGCTTCATGATGTCGCTCTCAGCTGCTTCATAAGCCAGAGAGATGGCTGGAACCTGAGAGTAGAAGAAGAAGACAGTATGAGCTGTATGTGAGCATAATGCTGCATTCATCATACTAAACAAAGAGTCTTTTTAAGCTCTTTACCATGTCAGTTCCCAGGTCAATACACAGGATTGTGATGGTTCCCAGTGGCAATGGGATGTTGACTATGATAAAAAATAGGAAGGGGGTGATCTCTGGGATGTTGCTGGTCAAGGTGTAGGCAATGGACTTCTTAAGATTATCAAAGATCAAACGACCTAGAGGGTAAAACAAAGAAAAAAAAAGAAACAGTAGACAGTTCACGTCACATTCTGTCCAACTCTGACATCTCAAATGCAAGTGGATGATCGGGAACTCTGCTTTCATGCAAGACATTTTTTATTGGAAAAAAACAACAACCATTAGCATCTCTTTTCTTTCTAAAGCGTCATTTCTATCTTCCTCCTACGTCCTTTCTCAGATTCTCATTATAAAACTTTTTATTGATTTAAGCGTTCTTAGTCTTTCAGTGCTCTCCTTTGGGTCGTCTCACCTTCTTCCACTCCAGTGACAATAGAAGCAAAGTTGTCATCCAACAAGATCATGTCTGCAGCCTGCTTGGACACATCGGAGCCTGAGATTCCCATGGCAACACCAATGTCAGCCTTTTTCAGTGCAGGTGAGTCATTCACACCATCACCTGTCACAGCTACAATAGCACCCTAGGACAAATGAAAGAGAACGACATTAATTAAAGCGAATTAAAAAAGCTGTTTTTGTTACATGTTTTCATTATTATTTAGCAAAGTTTTATTGAATTTAAGATAGTTTATTGAAATTATTAATTTCCAAGATTATTAAATAAATGTAATAAATTAAATATACATTAATATATAAAAATATAATATTGTATGTGCTTATATTTCGATTGTTACCACTTTATTTTACATTTCATTTTAAAGCTTCTTTTTAACATTATTTTTCTAGCTTTTGTACAGAAAAATGTTAAGTTTGGGAACTGTAAAAAAAAAACAATTAACAGGCTGGTGTATTTTTTGCATTAAAAACGAAAAAACATGGCCATTTTTAATACAATCTATCTCCCTGTGTAAAAGCAAGCTCTTCATCCAGTGGTCAAATAGTGCCATCTGCTGTTCCAAAAGTATATTGACACCTCAAAGTGCAGTCCCTGGAATTAAACCAGTACATTTCCAAAAAGAAAACCTGTAGCTTCTTTTCAAGCTAGTATATTAAAAATGTTCCAACCAGTCGCTGGCATCCTTCGACAATGATCAGCTTCTGCTGTGGTGAGGTCCTGGCAAACACAATCTCCGTGTGATTCCTCAGGATGTCATCCATTTGATCCTGAGACAGATCCTTGAGGTCTGAGCCATGAATCACACAGGCCTTGGCGTCTCTAAACACAGACATTAAAATGTTAGAACAAATTTGCTTTCACTTTGTGAGACTTGCTGCTTGTTTGGTGTGTGTTTTTCTGTAAACGTTCCTTACCTGGGATTGACCTGGCTGACAGGTATGTTGAGACGAGCTGCGATGTCCTCCACTGTCTCGTTGCCCTCTGAGATGATGCCCACTCCCTTGGCAATGGCCTTGGCTGTGATCGGGTGATCACCAGTAACCATAATGACCTACGAGAACAACAAAAATGACTTCTTATTGGCAACAATAGACTAAACTTAAAGATCAAAGAAGTTTGTGTCGAATCTAAACAGCTTACCTTGATACCAGCGGATCGACATTTGCCAACAGCATCAGGCACGGCGGCACGGGGAGGGTCGATCATGGACATGAGGCCGACGAAGCAGAGATTATCTGTCTGGAAGTTAACATCATCTGTGTCAAAGGCAAAGCCCTTGGGATACTGATCCTCTGGCAGCAGCACGTGGCAGAAACCTGGAGCAAGGGGAAATGTGTGATTTAATGCTGTTTAAGCATATTTTTTGTGGCTTTCTCTACTTTTTAAATAAATTCCACTACACTCCTTCCTACAGTTATAACCTTAAAGTGTTTTGTTTCAACAATTCAACAGATCATAATTTTAAAAAATTATGTTAAAGTCTTATAAATTAGTGAAAACCAAGAGAGCGGTATTATAATTCTAAAAAACAATTCTTGTATGTGATGCTGAATTAGCTATTTCAAGGTTTGTCAGAGTTAATTTCCTTATTTCAAATAGGGCTTTTTGAGCTTCTAAAAGTATAAAACCTTCGTTACATCGCGCGTGATTTACATTTTCCTATTGAAAATGTGTAAGAGACAAAACTATTAGGTTTAACAGTATGTTAGAAATTAACTTACAACATTAATAACATTGTAAGTAGAATGGGTGGGGGTGGTTAGAAGAGGTTTAAAATGAATAAAACCAGAGGTTCTAAATGCAGTGGTTCTATCACAGCTGGATTATTGCAATTATTGTAAAAGAAATAAAAAAACATTTCAACAAATTAAAAATAAATCTTCACGACGTGCATCATAATGCTCTTACAGAAATCATGTCAGTGATATGAATGGTAATCTAGGATGGGTAATTGCTAATTATAGAGCATTAGAGAGCCTTGTTTTGTGTTTACGTGTTGGATTGAGTGTGTTAAGGACCCTCAGGAAGAAACTCTCTGCGGCTGATGCTGATTAAACAAATAAACACAGTACAGACGTGTAGTAAAAATATATTAATGTCCAATTTGGATTTGATCAGTCTTTTAAAAACCAGTTTGACAATGAATTCAAAACCTGGAAAGTGGACGTTAACATGACCTTCAGAAGACAGCACAGGATGGATGCGTCCACAGATACAGGACTTGCTCGATTATAGTGAAAACCATAATCACAATTAAGCTGAGTACTAACATTAACATTTTCTTCTTTGAAACCAGTTAAATGGATGTAAAAAATAAATGAATAACAGTGGATGGATGGAACATCTGCAGCCTGGCATGAAGAAAGTTCGGACTTTTTATCGTTTTATCTATGATCATGAATGGAAACCACATTTATAATAAAGTAAACACTCAATCCTTTGCCCAGAAGAACATACACTGCATCCGATAGGCTATTAAGCGATGACTAAAATAATACTTTTAACTGAGCTACATTTTCAAATAAATTGTTATTAAATAAAATGTGTATTTTGGGATTTTGAACCTGATGGCCACACTGTCAAATCTTTCCCTCAGTATCCACCTTCACCTCTTTCGACCTTACCCAGTACTCTCTCTCCCAGTCCTCCCAGCTCCATGTAAGCATTCTGGAAAGCTTCCTTCATCTCCTCATCCATAGGCTGCTCCTTGCCCTGCAGCATGATGGTGGAACAACGATCCAGGATCCTCTCAGGGGCTCCCTTCATCACCAGCAAGTAGCGGTTGTCATTTGGATCTTCTGTTTCATGAACAGAAAGCTAGGGGAGGAGAACAGAGATAAGCATTAAAATGAGACCATCTGATGCATTACTCAGTGTATAACATATGTGTTCACCCATATTGACCCTTTACTCACTTGGTATTTATTGGTGGAGTTAAAGGGAATCTCAGCCACCTTCTTGTTCTTATCCCTCATCATCCTGACTGAACCGCATGACAGCTCGATACACTTCAGCAGAGCTGACTCTGAGGCATCACCAGCCACGTCACGCTTCAGGATGGACACTGAGTCTTGTCCAGCTTTGAACTGTGCGCGGTTACACAGAGCAGCAACACGAGAAAGAGACAGCCATGTCACAGAGCTCTTGTCAAATGCAGCACCTGCAGAAGGAATGTAAGAGTGAGAATTAATAAATGTTGTACTTTTTTAGTAATCATTTTTAATTCTTTTACACTAAAAATATTTGAGCCATCAGTGTTGCCCGTATGCCGTCCCTTCACTTACCCGACTGGTCCTCTGTGGTGTCAGCCTCATGGATCTGGTTGTCAAACCACATGTGGGCCACAGTCATCCTGTTCTGGGTCAGGGTGCCGGTCTTGTCAGAGCAGATGGTGGAGGTGGAGCCCAGAGTTTCAACAGCTTCCAAGTTTTTCACCAGGCAGTTCTTCTTAGCCATACGCTTGGCAGTCAGAGTCAGACATACCTGCACAGAATTCAAATTGTCAACTGATCCGTTTCCTCGATTCTAAAAGAAGTAATCTAATTATACACTAGCACAATATTAAACACACTAAATGAGAAGGTTTGTGTTTATTTCTATAGAATCTCCAAAAAGACCAGTGAAAAGGCATGAAAAAGAATCAGGCAAAGGAAAGCACTGAAATATGTAACCAAAAAAAATACAAAAATAAAGCAAATGTTTGCCTGCTTACAGTTACAGTAGCCAGCAGCCCTTCAGGCACGTTAGCCACAATGATGCCAATGAGGAAGATGACGGCCTCCAGCCAGGTGTAACCCAAAATGATGGCCAAGATGAAAAAGGTGACGCCCAAGAAGACAGCCACTCCTGTGATAATGTGGATAAAGTGCTCGATCTCGCGGGCAATGGGTGTTTTGCCGGTTTCCAGGCCGGACGTCAGAGTAGCAATGCGGCCCATGACTGTGCGGTCTCCAGTGCAAATAACAATGCCACGCGCTGTGCCTGGTGTGGATCAAAAAACAAAATCAGAAATACAATCTTACAGGTGCAACAACTTTGCTGCATTAGAAGGTGATTTTTTTAAAATTGTATTTAAAAACACATTTCTAAAATCACGACCTGACAACTGGGTTTAGAGATTTAAAAAAAAAAAAAAAAGAGCGCAGTGACAATATTGTGTGTAAGGGGGCGCCAGTTTAGCTCAGTAGTTAAGCAGGCAACCATACAGGCATGCCACATGGACAGAGCGCTGGGTTGGAGTCAGACCCGTGGCCCTTTGCTGCATGTCGGATATTTCAAGCAGAAGAAAATTGTTCACAATGTTTATGTGTTTCTGGAGAGGTTTTTTTTTAGTTAGTGTGTCATGATTTCTAGAAAAAAATCACTATGGCTGTGTTCTATTTGTTTGTTGCTTCATCTAGTTCTAGTACATTAGTATGTTCCAGTTTATACTTGCCAAACGGCCTCAAAGCCCATAAAGTTTCTGGGGTGAACTGTCCCTTTAACTGTGAACTTTATCGCTTTGTTCAAACTGAGGGCTTTAAATTCAACCACAGTCCTGCAAGGTAACAATAGCATGCAGTGTTATTGCCATGGTGACAATACCTTCAACACAGTTTGTGGAGAAGAAAGCAACGTTTCGGGTCTCCAGGGGGTTGTCATGGGTACAGTCAGGTGACCTGCTCTGAGGCTCTGATTCTCCTGTAAGGGAAGAGTTATCTACCTGTTGGGCAAAAGAAAATGTTAAAGTTTTTTTTTTAATTACATATAAAAAGAAACAAAAATATAAATCTATGCATGTGACTGTGTGTGTGTGTGTGTCTTTACCTTGCAGCCGTGAGCTGAAGTCACCCTGATGTCAGCAGGGATCCTGTCTCCACCCTTCACTTCAATCAGATCTCCGGCCACCACTTCCTCAGCATTGATCTGCACCTTCTCACCCTCACGGATCACCAGTGCTTGCTGCAGGAGAGGAAATAATGTCATTCATGATGCCAGAATTACATTTAGAGAGCTCCATGTAGATATGTTTGACCTCCATACTGTAAGTAACTAATTTATAATCAAAACACTGGCAAGCACCAGCTGTGAAACTTCTTTTTGTGTATACAGTTTTTATTCTAAATCAGAGTGGCAAGTAGAGAGGTAGGGGAGAAGCAGTGGGGGGATAATTTCACACAGGCCTTGACTGACATGTTAAATGTTACTGTAGAATGGAGGCAGGAGGTTTCTGTAAGTAAAAGCTATATGAGTAGTGGCGACAAGGATGTCTTGTACGCCTTCTGCTGTCCTTACAGCATAGATTACTTCATACTGTGTGTACGGGATCAAGCACCTATTTACCTGAGGTACCATGTTCTTGAAAGACTCCATGATTTTAGAGCTCTTAGCCTCTTGAAAGTATGAGAAGCAACCGGTGATGACTACGACAGCTGTGAGCACAATACCAAGGTACAACTGAAAGGAGAGAAAATTAGAAATATGTTAGTGGGGGTGGTTTGAAGCCACCGAGTGCAGTATGTGTAAAATATTTACTGAGGTGTTATTTATGTTAATACCCAAGAGTCTTAGGTGTGACGGGTATGTTAATGACGTGCAAATAGGCCACAGATAAATATGTTTGGGCTAAACCTGTGTGACTAATTGTGAATGTGTGTGTGGGTTCCTCACGTTGTCCCCTGCAGGCTCGTCCTCGGTAGCTGCCTGGATAGCGTAGGCCAGAAAGCAGAGGATGGCGCCGGTCCACAGCAGGATGGAGAATCCACCGAACAGCTGGCGACAGAACTTGACCCATTCTGGGGTGGTGGGAGGAGGGGTGAGAGCATTGGGACCATCCCTGAGCAGAAACTCTGCGGCCTTGGCATTGGTCAGTCCCTGCAGTGAACCGAGAGGAAGCGGAATGTGAAGTTCAAAAGCATTTCTTTGTCACAAACTCTAACCATGAAAAGTACATCACTGCCACCTGGTGGCAAACTGGGAAAATGCGTTGTCAGCTTACCTGGACAACGTCAGTCTGGAATTTCCTGCATACTTCCTCTACAGACATTTTGTGTTCCGTCTGTTATTAAACACCCCCCCCCAACAAACAGAAAAATAAAAACAACGTAGATTAGAATTTCTTGTAGTTCACAATTTTATTTGTATTTTTAGTTGCATGCAGAGATATTTTGTGGGGAAAACTCTCCAGCTTAAATTTATTCATGGAGGAAATTTTGATTAAAAAAAAAAATCAATCGTTTTATTTTACAGAAGGAAATTCAGAAATCAACGCCATGCATGCAGTTCACCTGAGGGGTAAGAGTATGTGGTAACGGCAGCCAGGTATGGCGACCATGGTGTCTGTTTCTTGGGCTGAAAAGTGGGCCGAAACTGCCGACTTCCTGATAATAAGTCCCCCCATCTTACCAGCAAAAAATACAAAAACGTTTGCGTGTATGGGAAAATAATTTCTTCTCTGTCCGAAAAAATGCTGCCAGTTTCCTTCCATTAATTCCATTCTGAAAGAAGATTTTCTTCAAAAATACATCCTTGCATCATTTCAAGGATGTTAAAAAAAAATTTCACAATATTATTTTAAAAAAATATTGAAATACTAAGAAAACTGTACACGAGCGATCAATCATCCTTTGACTGACAGGAACAAAAATGAACTGACCCAAAACTTTGCCCATGACCAGACCTTTGTATGGATCCACTCAACAGTGACAATTAAATCCAGCAAGATGGAAACAGAGTGCAGTAAAACTTTGTAACCTCTAACACACATCATAACAAAACTCAGTTACCACTACACAACTATTCTTAGAAAAAAAAGGAAGCGTTTACTTACAATGGGTACTTCCTTCTTCAGGTCATCCATGTCCTTGGTTGCCCCCTTCTTCTTCTTGGGGGATCGGTCATCTTTGTCCTGTGTGGTGGCAACGCGGTAACTGTCTGACTTCCCATACTACAGACATACACACATGTTTTATACATGCCTGTGGACTAGATAATGGAGAGAGCAGCCCTTGTCCTCTTGGTTTGTTATGTTCATTGCAGCCATTAAAAACTACACTGCTCTGTAAAATATTAAAACATTTGTAAACTGATGTGAGAGCAGCCTTCTTAAGAGTATTAATCAGCCACTGACTGCAGCTGAATTAAAGGCAGTGGGCACTGCTGAACTGGCCTTGATGAGATTTGTTTCATTACACAGCTAATAACGTTGTATCCTTGTGAAGTGGCCTTGAGAGGTAGTAGTAGTATAATAATGGAATGTATTTTTAGTTTCCGAGGATGATGTTAGCTAAAAAAAAAACCCCATGACTATAAAAACCTATTATTATAAGCATTGTTAAAGAATTGAAAACATATTACCCGGGTGGCTCGGTTTTGCTCAACCAAATATAAAACTGGGTTAGGAGTGAATTATCAACACATCAAAGCAAGTGCCTGCAGCCCGATCTACCCATTTGATCTCCATTGATCAAATAATGCTCCCTTCAATGACCACAAGATCCTGATGGACACATCAAAACGTAATCTAGTGCAAATGGTTTAACCTTGAGGTCTTAACAAATCACTTTTGCTCCTTTTCATTTACTTCTCCAGCAGTGAGCATTAACGACATAAGAAAGAGACAGCGAACAGGAAAATTGAGTTTGCAGACTCATCAAAGCGTTTCTTACCAGACTCTTGCATGCACTACAATACAAAACCATCAGAGCCACTTTGATGTCAAGAAAAATTAAACTGCGTGTATACGCAAACATGCAGACACAGACACATCAGCTGTCTTTACTCTCCTCTGCCTGCTTTACATCAAACCTATTATTCCAGTTACTGTAAATCTGCCCTTAGAAGATGGCTCACTTTGTTTAACTACACATAAGTGAGCTATTTATAACCTCATTTCCTCCATCATTGCATTTTCTGATCCTTAGTCTATAGCTGTAATTCTAGCCTGTTGTCTGGAAGGAGAGTAGTCTGACCTTTGATGAGCCTCATCCATACAAATCTGCTTCATCAAAGGTCAGAGGTGACATGGAGTGACAAGAACTCCTCCCAGGAGATGCAAGTGGGTTCGCTCACTGATCCAACCTGGTCATCGGGGGAGTTGAGCTTGGTGAAACATCATTTTAGTGAAATATACAGTATTGATTCCACGCAGGGGATTGCAAAATTAAATCCCCACAAGTCAAACAGAAAAGTCAATACCTATCGACTAATAAATCAATAACAGCAGTCATTTTGTGTCAAACAATAAAAAAAAAAACGAGGTTAAAGGTTAACCTGTAACTTAAATATGATGAAGTGCTGAATGTGTGCTGTTGTTCACAGGGAAAAATACACCCTCTAGTGGTATAGCCGGGTTGATCACTCCTGCTTGATCACTTTATTTAAATCTGATATTGTAAATTAGATATGAACTGCTTATCTGACCTCGAACATAATTAGTCTAAAACAAGTTGGCCCTTTATCCAAATCAAACGGACACATTTACAAAAGCACCTGGGAGGGGGTATGAAACGAGATCCCGAGTCCTCCGCACATGTTGACATGGAAACTCCCACACCCAGACCGCACCAAAACATACACCCCTGCAGTTACACCAGTGTGCGTAATAAAGATCAGCCTGCCAGTGAATTTTCCACTTGAGCTGTAATTGTACTGCTCTTGTGCAAAAGTCTTGTGAAATCATGTCTCTTCGTATTTAGTCTGTATGCAATTGTTACTTAAGACCTGCCTTTCTGGTTGTGCTCATAACTGAAAAAAAAAAGTATTCATGAAGCAACACATGCAAGACGTCTTGGGAAAATTGCCGACCAATTGAGGGAGTGCTGCTCTCAACGACCACTTCTGAATTCAAAGCAAACAATAAAACCACTCGTTCAAGCATGTCAAGCAGAGAGTAGGCTGTCAGAGCGAGGTAGCTGTTTGACTGGACTACAAGCAAACACACACACACACACACACACACACACACACACACACACACACACACACACACACACACACACACACACACACACACAC